TCAGCTGGCGCCGCATCCGCTCGCGCACGAGGTAGTGCTGGATGCTGTCGTTGCTCTGCGAGTGCTTGCACCCGAAGTGGCAGGGGCGTTTGTCCTGAATGACGTGCATTCTGTGGCTCGTAGTCCACGCGCCCGCAAGCGGTTCCACGGCGGCCCACATCCTCGCTGGCGGCAACGTCGCGAGGTAGGTGCGAAGACGCTTCCAACGTGCTGGTAGGTCGGCTGGAACGCGCTGGAGTTGTAGAAGGTCTGCTGGCTCGGGTTCGTCTGCTGGTGAGTTTTCGTCGCCCATGTCGTCGTCGTCGTCGTCGGGGTCGGCATCTGAGTCAGGGGTGTGGTACGGCAAGAAAATGGCGACCCATCGGAGTCCGGCTCGGTGATGCGCGGCGTCATATTCGAACAATGCGGTCTGGCTGCGCGTGTCCTCCCCAACGTTGGTCACCCTTGTGAGACGTCGTTCGAGTAGTGGGCGGCCGATGCCGCTGTTGTCCCACGACGGCTCGCACATGTCGACGGCCATCTGGCGGCGCTGTGTGTCCGCGGCGCACAGCGGTAAGAACAGGTCAGTGCCGAGCAGTTCGTGCAGGTACGCGGTGCACCACTGCATCCAATCATCGCGGTTGTCGATGTGTCGGTCTCGAGGCAGGATGTCAGGAAGCCAATGAGATGCCCGCACTCGAACTCGTGTGAGAAGACGTTCTTGAGCACGCTCAGCGTCACGACGGGGGCCGTTCGGCGGTTCGCACGTAAGTTGCTTGACAGGGTCCAGCACAGGGAACCAGGCAAGAAGACGACGCTTGATGGTGTCGGGCATGGGGTCAGAGTAGAGCTGCTCGTTTAGTGACATCATGCACGCTTTCTGTGGTGTGACCTTGGCAGGCTTGCGACGATAAGGTCGGCGTTGTTTTTTTTGCTGCGCTGGTTGGCGTCGGAGGACACCTGCGCGCGTGAGCGCCAACCATTGCTGCGCGCGTTCGTGGCAGCGGCCCAGCAGTGCGAGCCAGACGTTTGAGATGAGAACCTTTACAATCAACGAATAAGGTGGAGTTGGTGGTGCACTCGAAGCGCTGGACGATGGCGGTCTTGATTTCCCAACAGTCGTTGCACCACTGCCCTTGCATCGCGGAGATGAGAGGCAACTGGGCGTGGGCTTCTTCGCACAACTTCCGACGCGCGCTCCTCCACTCTGTCACAGTAGTAGAAGCGGTTCTCCAGAGAGTAGCTGCCAGGTAGTTCTCGATAACGATGAGGACTTCCACGTTGGTCTAGAGTGACATCGCGAGTTCGTCGGACTTGGCGAAGCTGGATCGGGCGACGCGCAGCAACTTGTGGATGGCCTGCTGCTCTTTCTGGAGGATGCCTTCAGGGGGTTCGAAGAGCTGGCCGGCGTAGCCCCGGCACGCGGCGGCGGCGACGCTGTAGAGCTTGATGCTTTGCTGGGCTGGGGCACGCGATGCAGCGAGCTTCTCGACGCGGTCCCACCATTTCACTGCGGGTCCACGCCAATTGTCTGCAAGTGATGCACCAGGGCCGACGCAGAATCCAAGGTAGCGGGCCTTGGGCTCGATCTTAAAATTGGGGGCGCGAGCAGCAGCGAGTATGCGGCGCATCTAGGCGATGATGTCTGGGGTTTGCAGCGTCGCGGTAGGTGAGCCGATGCACTTCTTGGCTTGAAGATGGAGGCCAACAAGCGTCTCGGCGGCGATCATGCGCGGGGCGATCGCACTGATGTCGTGGAGTCTGGCGAGGATGAAACTTATTACCCTCGTCAAAATGAACCTCAACAGTTGCCGGCGCGTCATTTCGATTTCGGCGCGCCCCCCAATGTCGACACGCCGCCCCTTCAATGTCGGGGCGAGGGCAAAGATAGCCTGACCGAAGTTGACTCGAAAATTTGACGTCGACCGACATTGGAGGGGCGGCGCATGCAAGCACCCCGCGCTCATCGATACTCGGCCCCATTTCTTCCGACAAGCAGTTCCGACACGTCAGTCATTTTGAAGTTAACATTGACGAGGGTTGTAGGTCGTCGGCGCAGGCGCTGACAAGGCCGCGCTCGATGGCCCTGAGCTCGGCGCCGATGGCGGCGGTGATAGGGTCGAAGACGAGGGCCCAGATGATGCCACTCAGGGGGCAGCCTTGAGCTACGCCCGATGCTGCGATGAGCAGCGGACGTCGCTCTCCCCCCATGTCCACGAACGAGACGGGACAGTGGCAGCAGGCCCAGATAAGGCGCATCATGTCGCCGTGGATGCCCAGTGCGAGAGGGTGCCCCACATCCATGAATGGCCGAGACTCGGGAAGGCGGCCGCGATGTCCATGCTGACGAAGACGGGCATGTCTGTCGATGCTGAAGGTGATAGGCTGAATTGTCTGGCAGCTGCGTCCACCACGACAACGCTGTTCAAAAACTGGCGGCCGTTGACGAAGCCCTGCTGCTCAGGAGACGTCTGGGCGGGGAGGGCGCGAAGCTGGCGGTTGGCGGCGGACGCCAGCAACT